CCAGATGATCGTTGCCACCGGCAGAATGAAGCGTGTATACTGACTGGTCTTGGCGCTATACTTGCACAGTCGCCAGGCATAGTAGAGCCAAAACATTTTCTACAGCAGCTTACTAAAAAACAACTGGACCCCTCTCTATCAAGAGTTCTGAGCATAGTGAGGCGGGGGCTCACCGCTGCTGGTGCACAGAGGAAGCGGTCTCGGTCTCTCATGCGGTACAGCGCTTACGCCTGCAATTCCTCCGGCATGTATTACACTATATACATGAATACACACGCATACGTTAAGTTATTTTTCGTACATACACTAAGAACACAATTGAGTATTAAGAAACTTACATCTCTCCCGTTAGACACGATGAAACCAGCAATACATACACGTGGTTCTGCCAGATTCTGCTACAGTGATGCTGAGGCATCGGCACGCAGCGGATCCATCATATAAAGGATGCGGCGAGTTGAACACCGGATACAGTCACACGATGCGAAATTGCTGCATATTCATAAACCAATACACCGCAGGAATGAGTAACAACCCCACCTTCACCGTAAGTGGAACACCTGAGGGAATGTATGGTGGAAAGCTGTACAGCTGCCGCCTTCAACCGGCACCCGACAGATGACAGATATCTTATATATATATATATATATATATATATATATATATATATATATTCGACAAAGAAAGATATTAATGTAGTGTAGTGTGGACAGAAGCCGCATGCGAGAACACAACTCAGCCCCGCCGTTCAATGCATGCGCAATTTTCTATGTTTGGCCTTCAGTAAGAAAACCCGTTAATTGGGATCTGAATGTTTGTTGTTTATTTTTTCATCTTTTTGTCAAAATTCCCGAGGAGGTGAAAACTTTGATAGACCATCAACACCGCGTACCGCCTCTGTATTCCTTCAAGCAGCCGCTGCGCTGCTCTGCATGCATGTTTTCTTTAGTACTTTAGTCGGTGACTGGAGGAATGGCTCGCGTGCTGCTTTGCGGCGAAGTCCGCGGCCGAGTCAGCGAGCTGCACCGGCTGCTCCACCAGCTGCAGAAGAAGGGTCCATTTGACCTGGCAATATGTACAGGTTCTTTCTTTGGGGAACCACAGGAGCAGGACGCCGCCCCCGCATGCAGCAGCAGCTCCTCACCCCAGGAGGGCATTCGTAGGGGCCCCCAAGTTTCAGAAGGGTCGGCTCAGGGGGCCCTAGGTGAGGCCGTCTGTGCTGAGCTGTCTCGGCAGTTTGCCGCTGCCTTTGACGAGCTGCAGCGCTGCTCCAGCACTCTCCCTCTGCCTCTGTACATCCTCGATGAAGCTACAAGCCGATGCGTACAGAGGCTGCAGGCACAGCGTCAGCCAACGGCGGCATCTCCCCCCCCCAGTACCCCGCAGGAGCCCGTCAGGGTCAAGACAGAAGATCCTCCTGTAGCAGCAGCAGCTGCTGCTAGCTCTGCTGCACCTCCTCAAGGCTCCGCTGCTGATGTCAAAGAGGAGCCAAATGGAGAACAGTCTTCAGGGGAGGATAGAAGTGGTGCTACATCAGTCAACCCGTCACCGGCGGGTCAGGCTGTGTCAAGAACATCCGAGTGTACGTACACCCCATTGCAGCTGTTAGAAAATGTTTGGCTGCTAGCGGGGGCGGGAGTAGCGGAGCTGCACGGGTTAAACGTTGCCTTCTACGGGGGTGAAGGGCCCCCTGGGCTTTCCTGCTGCAAGTCGGATGCACGCACTGAGCAGCAGCAGCAGGTAGAGGATCAGCAGCAGCAGCAGCAGCAGCAGCAAAAGGAACAGGAGCCTGGCTCTGACAATAGAGGGGCTGCGTTTGCCTTGAGCCTCTCAAAGGGGTGGGGAAACTTTGACGCCTTCAGGGGCCGCATTGATCTCTTGCTGACGGCGAGGCCTCCCCTGGGGGTATTCGATGGGCTTCCTCCTGGCGTGGCGCCAACCCCCCCGGCCCAGCAGCAGCAGCAACAGCAGCAGCAGCAGCAGCAGCAGGAGCAAGACGAGCCTGCTAGCGCGGACAGAAAAGAAGGAAGCCCAGCGGATGCTGCGGCTGAGGCGCAGTCAACTACACCCGAAGGCCTTTAGTAAGCCGTTCTGTAAGAGAGGGGGTCGAAGGGCTTCGCCTAATATATTCATCTTTTATATATCTATTGTTTCTGTATCCCATGTGGTGTGTGCTTACTTATTGTGCCTCTTTTTGCTTGTTGTATTGGGAAAACTGCTGCTGCTCATGCTGCTGCTGCTGCTGCTGCTGTTGCTGCTGGTGTTGCTGCTATTGTTGCGCTCGCTACAGCACTTGCAGTGTTTCTGCGGTGTCTCTTGGCTTTCTGTGCGCGTAGCAGTACCGATGCTACTGTGCTGCTGCTGCTGCTGCTGGTGCTGCTGTTTATCTTTCGTCCTGAGCCATGGTGTTGCTGCTGTGGGGTTGCTGCTGCAGCTGCAGAGAAAGCAGCTGTCTCGCCGACTTCCTCGAGCCCCGCCACATCGTCTGTAGCGGCCTGGGGCTCTTCTGGCAGAGGCCTCATTTCAGGGGAAGACATTTTGGTGAGATCCTGCATCGACGGCTGCAGCTTCTTTACCTGCCGGCGCTGCTGCTGCTGCTGCGGCTGCTCCTGCTGCTGCTCCTGCTGCTGCTGCTCCTGCTGCTGCTGCTGCTGCTGCTGCTGCTGCTGGTGCAGACAGCATCTCAGTTGTAGCCCCTTGGCTTTTCTCTTTATGGCTGCAGGGGCAGGGCTGCGGCAGGCCGGTGCTGGGCAATGGTTTCTGCCGCTTATGTTGGTGCTGCTGCAGCTGGTGAAGGATTTTCGTCTGGCTGCCGCTGCATTTGTTTTTTTTTTTTCTTTTTTGCTGCAGGATATTCGATGCGTTTAATTTTGCTGGGGGTGGTAGGAGAAAAGGGCCCCCAAGTGAAG